ATTATAATTATATATTTTTTTCTTTATTTTATTCTATTGTTCCTTTTTTATGTAATTAATATTTTCATTCGTATTTTTATTTTATTTTATTTGTTCTCCTTATTTCTTTTTATAGCTATATATATAAAACTTATATTAATTTTTGAAATTCTTATATTGGATTAGAAAAAGTCTTTTTACAAGTTGATAAAAAGATCTTTCTCTATCAATATTTTCATTAAAAATGATAAAATTTAAAAAAAGGGTTTTAAAGCGTAAAATCACTATTTTCAAATGATTACTATATTTTTTGAATTTATATGAATTTGTAATTTTTATATGTAGAAAATTACGAGTTGAAAAAAATGAAAAATTTTCCATTGTCTGTCGTGAAAGCTTGAAATTTCTACAAAATCGTTTTTTAAAAATATTCCTACGATTTTTTGTTCCAGAATTACTCACAAATTAAGTAAAAAAGAACATTCTGATTTTATTGCTCGCAACTTAAAAATTATACGTAAAAAATCGTATCGCAATTAAAAATACAGATTTTTAAAGCTGAAACATTGCTCTATCCAATGTTATTGTCAATTTAAAAAAAAATAGAATATATGATTGCTAAAAAAAAGTCTTTTACCAACTTGTAGAGAGACTTTTTTCTAACCCAATATTATACTGAATAATTATCAATAACAATTTATTAATATCAACTTACCTAACACCAATGGGGCCGTTGGGCAAAATTTCTCTCGCGATTGAAAGAGCCATTTGATAAGCTGCATCGCCGACCTTGTTTTGTGAAACTACTTCGTTCACGAGACCGATTTGCAGCGCCTGCTCACCATCCAGAATCCGTGCAGTATAAATCAATTCTTTAGCCTTGGCTGTTCCGATTATCCTCGGAAGTCTCTGCGTTCCGCCGGCGCCTGGGATTATAGCTAATTTAGTCTCGACAAGGCCCATCTTCGCTTCGGAAGAAGCTACCCTGATATCGCTAGCTAGCGCGAGCTCCAATCCTCCGCCCAATGCTGTACCGTCGATGGCCGATATCACCGGCGTTGGCAGAGTCTCTACGTCGGTCATAAGTTCTCTCAGCGAGGACACGAATTGCAGCACCTCAGAATTATCCATTTTAAATCTCTCTCGCAGGTCTGCCCCAGCGCAAAATACTTTTGGGACCAGGCTGCGTACTATCAGCACTCTCAGCTTGTTATTTTGTCTAATAGAGGCCAGTGCTTCATTCAACTGAGAAATCAAGGTCTTTCCGAAACTGTTACGAGCAGCAGGCCTGTTTAATCCTAATACAGCAATACCATTGTCTTTGCCATCCAAGTAACTGACGATTACTTCTTTCGCCTCATCCTTAGGACTTGGCATCGCATTCGTAGTCAATGTCCTTGCGGTACAAGCGCAGAAATGATAAAGAGAGCTCGTAGCTCTGATGCTTGCCACTAATGAAACCATTTTGCAAGAAGCGAAAAGTTAAAGTGTATTTTCTTGAAAATCTGTATCTGGAAAAAAAAATTGATCCTCGATAAGATATTTATCGAATATATAAGATATCTTATCGAAATTTAATTGAATCTTTCTTTAACATTCTCATTCTGCATCATCTATTAAATTTTATGTGTGTGATGTGTGTGTGTGTGTATATATATATATATATATATTAGGGGTACAACTTTGCTTCCGCCGTTTTTTTTCCGAA